TAAGGAGGAGAGCATGGTTATTGTGAAGTGGTATGACAACAAATCTGTTACCCTCATCTCATCCTATTGTGCAACTGAGCCTCAAGATGCAGTCCGTCGCTGGAGCAAATCGGGCAAGGCATTTGTTGAGGTCAAAAGGCCACACATTGTGGAGTACAACACATTCATGGGGGGTATTGACCTGCTTGACGCCTGCATTGCAAGGTACAAGTACCACATGAAGTCACGGAGGTGGTATCTCCACCTGTTCTGCCATCATGCTCGGTGTTGTCAACGCATGGTTGATTTACCGTCATGACTGAGAGCTACTTGTGTCCAAAAGCCACTGAAACAAAGAAGCTTCCAGGCAGAAGTTGCCACAGGCCTGATCCTTGGGAAATCATCACAGAACATCTCATCACCACCTCCACCACCCAAGAGAGTTCGAGTTGTACCTCCAACATTGGGCTGATTTATTTTACTTTTTTTCCAAGAAGCTTGTTGAAGTAAACCAAGAAGTGTTGCCATCATTATCCATGTTAAGAATTTGACAATAAAAAGGAAATTCTGTTTTTAAAAGCAAGAAAGTGTTTACAGAATTACTTTCTAAATATGGAACAAATGTACCTTGTATGCCCAATGTGACGCATATGTGACATTTCAGATCTGGGGCAGTGGGTGGAGCTATTACAAAAAAACTTCAGAAATGTGTTATATATGATTGATTTGATATAACTTACAACCCCCATAATTTACGTGAAAGTAGAAATAGGTCTGGGTTCTTAAGGGTTAACAGCAGAAGTTGTACCGATGTCAGTCTGCACCAGAACTTCAAACCTTTACTTTTGAGTAAAAGTAGCCATCTCTAGACCCAGCAGTCTTAGCTAATTATAGGCCAATCTCCAACCTTCCTTTATATCAAACATCCTCGAAAGAGTAGTTGTCACACAGCTAACAGATCATCTGCAGAGGTTTATTTGAAGAGTTTCAGTCAGGTTTCAGAGCTCAGCACAGAAACAGCTTTAGTGAAGGTTACAAATGATCTTCTTATGGCCTCTGACAGTGGACTCATCTCTGTGCTTGTCCTGCT